GAGGCCGACGGTGGTGGTGCCTGCCGACGATACACCTGTCTTGGGCATCCCCCCTTCCAGGCCCCTGTAGACGTTGAGGAATGCCGTGCTCGAGAAGCCCCTCCTCGGCGTGCCCTCAGGCCTGCCCGGACTCACCGCCGCTGCGGCAGGCAGACTGGTTGACCGTGGCAGAGCCGGCACATCAGACTCAGACGCAGCAATGGGGCTGGCGACCTCCTTCGGACTCGATGACGCGTCTTTGGTCGATCGTGTGCGGCCCGACCTCGGCGGGGGTCGGGGCGGTGGGAGGGTCGCTGGAGAAATGTATGGGGGCTGGGCCGGAGGGGGCGCCGCTGGGACGTCGGGCAGCAGCTGGTAGGTGTCGCCGCTCTGCTTGGATGGCTTGGATGGGTGGAATATCCGCTTGCTGGCCCGCCTGGTGTCGCAGTGTGGTCGCTTGAAGCCGCCCTCCCCGTCATCCTCCATGGCCACGGTGTCGATCGACTCCATCGACGGCCCCCCGGCAGACGGCAGGGACGTCTGCGGGGACGAGGGGAAAGCACCTGTGCAGATGGACGGGTAGGAAGACAACAACACAACAGAAGAGACATCGATACAGTGTGGATGGATGCACAGGCGGTTTGGTCAGTTCTCACTCGCTTGCATCATGGTAGTGCTTGTGAGTGAGCTGTATGGCGTGGATGTGAGGGCACTGGACGTGCGAGACAGGCTGGGAGGGGGCGGGGGCTGCCAAAGCGGACGAGCCGTGGCCGAAGTGACAGGCAAACGACGCGACGCACCACCATAGCGAGTCGCCACGCCCCCGCCTCCTCCTGCTGGTGGCCCCGGCGCACCTCCCAACCGACCAGCCTCCTGTGCAAAACCGGGTGGCGCCGGCTGGCCCTCCGGAGCCGGGTAAGACGGCATCATGCCGCCCTCCCTCTGCTGCTGGTGTTGTTGCTGTAGCAGCCCCCTTTCCTTGAGAGTGAAGGGAGACGACGGCAGATCTGATGGAGGGGGGCCCTGCCAGCTCCCTGCTGCCTGTGTGTCTGGGGGGAATGGGGAAGGAGAGGGCTGCAGCTGCCTCGGTGCTGATGCAGAGGGCCTGAGGGGAAGCTGGGGGGGCTGGTCAATGCCTGGGGGACGCATCAACGGTGGAGGCACCCGGTGAGGGGGGACAGCAGGAGGCTGACCCACACCACAACACAACCACACATGTGAGTGCTATACGCTTTTCTTGTCTGCCCCCCCAACTTACCATTTGTGTATGTGTGGTTGCATCTTTCGGCTGGACGGCGCCCAGTCGCACCGCATTGGCCAGCGCCAGGTACCGCGTCCGCCAGTACTCGATGGCCGGGTGGTCCTCCGGCGGGGAAGGGGTGGGGGGAGCGTCACGCAAGCGCTTCACCTCCTCTGTGAGGGCATCGTTCTTCTTCTGATGGAAAGAAAGGGGCGTAGTGATCATCTCTCTGGTCGACACAGAACTCTTGCGTGCCTGTAGTTTTTGTATTCTGTGGTCGAGCTGACTCATCCGTTGGTTAATCTCGTCTCTGAGCACCAACCGATACTCCATCGGATCGTCACCAGCGCTCCACACTATCTTGAAATCTGACACATACAGACCAGACAGTCAGACGGGCGCAGTCTTGCACACGAGTTTCCCCTTGACTCACTGACTCACCCGGTGGCACATAGACGAATTCCCACTCGCATTCGAAATAGCCCTCCCAGTTTGGCTCGTCAAGCACCTTTCGACGACACACGAACTCAGCCTGACCGCCAGCAGTGTGGTACACACGCCTGTGGTTCAAGTGGCGCAACGGGTCTGTCCGGGGCGGCCTGCCGGCCCGCACGTCCTCGGCGCCGCCTCTCTCCCTCTGCTGCATGGGAAGGGGAGGGGGTGGTGACAGTGGAGGCGGCGGGGGCGGTGGGGGAGTCATGCGTTAGAGGGGGGCGGCGGTCGATACCCACCAGATCCCCTCCCAGCAGGGGAAGGCACTCCCGGGTAGGCCGGCTGCCTCTGCGATTCGCCAGCGCCACTGGACGGGGGTGGCTCGCTGTTCCGCGGCTTCACCTCCCACGAGCGCACGTCCGTCCCGGGGCCACAATAAAGGGGTCATGGGCCTCGTAAGGAGGCGGGTCGCGAGAGGCACGCGCTGCCTCGTATGGCATGGTCTCTGGCAGCGGTTCGGTGGTCAGGGGAGGGCGCGAAGAGGGAGGAGGGAAGATGCGAGTCGTGGAAGGGATGGCAGCTAAAACGCAGCCAATGCAGACCGACAGAAGTATTCCATTTTACACCGAGTCAGTCCATATGCAATACTCAAGTATTGTGATAGTTGGGTGGCTGACCTGGTAGGCCTTCGTGAAGCGGAGGCGCTGAAGCAGCACCTGAGGGCGACGGCTGAAGGGATGGGAGCGCTCCTGAGCATCACAAGAACACACATGGAGGAAACGTGAATGCATACGCAGCATCACGGCAGCACTATATATATCCTGACTGATTCTTGTGAGTGCTTACCCTCTTCTGCTTGTTGACTGATCGGATGTGGTGGAAACTCAGGAAGATCTGCTGGGACGCCTTGCTGCTTCCCCTGCTTTCTGCTCATGAATCGGCGTGCTCGTCTAATAGAGTTACTGCCTGCCCCCCGTGCCCTTACAACGGGCAGCAGCAGCGGTGTCACGGAACGGCAACCGCCTGAGCTCAGCTGCGAGCTCGCGGCAGTGGATCGACTTCCCCGTCCGTCGGTGTCTGCATCTGCATGGGTGCGTTCGTGGTTCTGCATGGGTGGGCGGGTTGATTGGCAGGGTCTGTCGATCATTGACCGATCTGTTTCCCACCGTGTGTTTGTTGCTCGCGTTGTTTGTTTGCGTTCGTGAGGACTTCTTTCGTTGTGTCCGGCCGTGAGGCCATTCGCACTACGCGTGAACCGCTTCCCCCAAGCGTGCCTTTGTGCCTTGCACTTTGCCCGTGAAGTGCATTTCGAGTGAGTAGGCGTAGCGGTACGCAGATACGCGCGCCAGATCTATCTCGCTCGTGCCCTTCTGTCTGTGCGTGTTGCTTTTGGAGTGCGTGCATGGTGTGTTGATGGCCGGTTGCTGGCTGGCTGGCTGGCTGGCTCTTCACACCTGCTGTTTTTCTGTTTGTCGAGCGAGGCGTGGTGGGAGTTGGTTGCGTGGTTGCATGCTGGGAACGGAAGGCGAGGGAGCAAGGTTAGTGAGCCACTGATTGATAGTGTGTCAGTCATATAAGAAGCAAGGGGGGATTGGCGGTGTGTTGCTTTTTGGTGGTTGCGTGCTAGTCAGGCCCATACATCTCAAGAGAGGCCTGACTGGCTGTGTGACAGTCAGTCTGTCTGCCTGCTTGCCTGTTGGGTGCTGTCTGTCGTCGTGTAGGTACTTGGTGACACATACATACGTACAGTCTTAGTCGAATACATAGATGCATGCATCCATAGAAGGTTCATTCGTACGGGGACAGACAAGACAGGGGGAGAGAAGGGACAAGGCAGGCAGCACAATCGATTATCAGAAAAGATAGGCAGGTAGGGGAGCAGGTCGTTCCTTTGTGTCGTATTTGAGGTGAAGACGGCCAATCCATACCCATCCACTGGTGGAGAGGCCTCGGCCCATCCCGCCTCATCCAGTGCGGCGGCCTCACAATTCTATAAGACTAGAATCTGCAGGTACGCACACGTGCACAGCACAGATGGCACGACCAGCATGATCATTCATCTGTGTCGTTTGTTCTCCTGTGTACTTCGATCAGATTCTGGCAACAGATGAGCGTGACTGCATGCATACATGCCATGTGTCGATCAGTCGTCGTCTCATGGTTGCCCTGCCCCATGCTCGGTGTGTCCATCAGGGAGAGTGCACCCGCGGTGAGAACTGCCGGTGCGCTCATAGCCTCGAGGAAGTCCGGACGAGACCTGACCTCACTAAGGTACGCCGCGCATGCTGCATATGTAGAGGACTCGACTGGATGGCTGGCTGCTGTGTGAGGGCGCAGACCCGGCTGTGTGAGAACTTCCAGAAAGGCGAATGCTCAGACCCAAATTGTGCCTATGCGCACGGTACGTATGGCTGCACCGAAGTGCATTCACGGCACCTTTGACCTCTGTCAGCGTGCGTGCTTGTAGGTGAGGATGAGCTTCGTTCGACAGATGACTTCTACAAGACATCGTTGTGCGTCTTTTGGAAGCGAGGCACCAATTGCTCTCGTCCGCATCTCGAAGAGCTTCTGGAAGAACGCTGATAGTTTAGGCATTTTTCCAAGACAAAGGTCCCAAGACGACTACCTTGACATCTGCGCTTTTGTGGGGGATGCACTTATTGGCGTGTGCGCTATTTTTCTGTGCTTCTGTACTGCAATATGTTGGCTAATATTGGCCGAGCCCTTCGTGAGGAGTCTCTTCCTGTTGTGGCTGTCGAAAAAACGCCTCAGCCGCTCACTCACTGAAGAACACAAAAGCCAGAACGGACACAGACGGTTGCACGTGAAGAGGCGATCAGCTCGGTGTGCGTCGTCTCGGTACTGGCGGTGGTGTGTCTATCGGTGGTCGGTGCGTCGGTCTCATCGGTAGTCGGCGCGTCTGTCGGTGGCGGTGAGTGTGTCTGTCGGTCACGGATTCGTCAGAGTACGCCCGCTATCGGTCGTTCGACAGCGTCGCGTTACGATTCCGGCACTGGTGGGTATACGGGGGCGCTGACGGTCTCGGACAGAATACACTATCGCCCTGACGTCCAAACAGATGGCAGATACACAAAACAGGCCTGTGTGTGCGCAGGTCTGTCGGTTAGTCTACTGTCAGCGTTTCTGCAGCGCTTCGCGGTGACTGACGGTGTCACAGTAGTATTGCGACGGCTCGGTACACACGACAGCAACGACTCTGCGGCACACAACAAGACAAAAGAGAAACAAACAAGTCACGGCGCAGATGCACCAGTGATACGTTGGCTGGCACAGCAGATGCACCAGTGATACGTTGGCGTATCCTCTCCTCTGTGCCTCTCTGGGTGTGTGTGATGTGCGTGATAAGACAGAGGCAGACAGACAAACAGACAGAAGAGAAGCACCAACGCGCCACCGCCCTCTCTGTACGTGCGGGTGAAGTGTGAGAGAGAGGGGTGACTGGCTCTAGTGGTGGTGAATAGGTGGGTGATGAGGTGGATGATGTGATGGACCCTCAAGACGAGTAACACGGGGTAAGCATGTGTGGCTCACGTTGTCTTCTCTCCGAGGGCAGGGGAGGAGAAGGACCCTTGACGTGTGTAACACTCCACGTAGTCCACGGCGACGCAACACGACACTCACGGCAACGCAACACCACAAGACGCAACACAGAACAAGCCGAAGGGCGGACGCACCACAAGGGGGGATCGCTGATGTGTCCTCT